CTGGAGCTCTCAATTGTTTGGCCCATTAGCTTGAGCGGGTTGCCGAACGTTACCACAGCTTTGATGCGTGGTGCCAAGGTTTCCGGAATAGATTCACCGGTGCCAAGCATTGTCCTGATGCCAAGCGCGATGTCGGTGACACTAGCACCTTGTGAGTAGCCGCCGAGCACGAAAACCGTGTTAGGACATTCTTGCGCGACGGATACGACGTGGTTAGTCATGTCGGTAGCACCCGGTCCAGCGCTGGTTTGATCCATAGATGCGAGGTAGCTGACGGCGTAAGAGGAGACGCTCATGCCGCCGAGGTTGGAGGTGATCCCACTGACCAAGGGCTCACCGCAGATTCCGAGGCCAGGCATTTCACCACTGCCACGGGCGAAGACAATGTGCACGTCGGAGCACTGGGCTTGAACGACATTGCTTGGACTGAGGAGCAGGAGCGAACCGATGATGGCTGTGCAGGTTGAAGCGAATCTCATGGTTGTTGATGGCGAGGTGAGTAGAGCGTGCGAAATTGAGGAATGATCGAGTGCCAGGTATCTACCTATGCGTGAGCTCTCTGTGTTGACCCGCTCCAAGTACTACGTCTATTTTATTGTTCGTTATGGCGTGAACTGTACGCGCACATGTTGCCCACTATCGATGATCGATTCGATCTTATCCGGTGCTCAAGGATTTGCATGTTGAAGTGAGATGAACTGCATTGACATGCAACTTTATGTAGACCAAGAGTTTTGTTATAGAGATAGCTACAGTAGAACACAAATGGACAGAGCATCTGCTTCTTTCAGCGATAGAGATACACATGCCTTGAGCAACTGAAGTGATGGCAAGCAACTGGCGGCTCTGAATCTCGTTCGGATAGCGAGATGTTCGATCCAGCTTTGTGAGCACCACGTGTGAAAACCACATGCCCTTGGGCCTTGAATACAAAATACTCTTGATGGCGATACAAAGTGCATGTGTCGCTGGCCTTGAAAATTAGCTCCGATAATCTACAGTATTTCATTTCTCTCATTTGGCCGCTACGAAAAGCAAAACAGAAACTATTCGTCTGCGAACTGCGAATACTACAACAATCGCAAAAGTAAATGGGGAGCTTCGGATATAACATCTCACCCACAAAGAGCATGCATGAGTAAGCACCCGATTACCAGTTGTTCAAGTATCAAGAAACAGCCCCTGCTCATTTTGCCCGTGATCACGATGTACTTCGAGGACACTTCAAGCTTTTCCTTCACTTTTCAGTAGCACGAACGCTTTGCGCGTGATCAACCTGGAAGCACGCGCCCACTATTAGACGTCGTCATGCTTACTACGTTGAGCTCTCAAAGAGGAATATTGAGCTGATCCACGACGTATTGATGTGCGTGCTTCACATATGCAAAACTAGATAAAATTCAGTAATAGTAACTTGTCGACGTTAAACACTGTCCATTGACGACGCTCAAGGAACTTCCTCTTTCGCAATGAAGACATTGATAGTCGTAAACCGATTCATTCTTCATTTTACACTCAACTGCAATTGCTCCAAGTCTCTCACTTATGAAGTTCTTTACCCCGTCTCCGACAACCCTTGGATTCCTCCTACTTCTGGCCAACCCAACCAGCCTTGTCAACGCTGAGTGCTCAGACGTCCACGTCGTCTTCGCTCGTGGAAGTGGTGAAGCTGCTGGTCTAGGCATCTGTGGCGAACCTTTCGTCAGTGGGATCACCTCGAACCTCTCTGGCATGAGCGTGTCTTCCTACGCGGTTAACTACCTCGCCTCTATGGACCAGACGAGTGCCGGTCCTGGTGCGACCGACATGACAAACCACGTTGTGTCTGTGGCAAAGGAGTGTCCCGACACAGTTTTCGTGCTTGGCGGCTACTCTCAAGGTGCCAGTGTCACCGACATCTCAATCGGTATCAAGACGACGCTCGGCTCGGGCGACACCATCCCCGAGTCTCTGTCCTCTCGCATCAAGGCGATTGTGACGTTCGGCAATCCGCTCAAACTAACGGGCGGCACTATTGAAAGCAGTAGCTCCACCTACAGCTCCAAGGCTATTGAGTTCTGCAACCAGGGCGACCCCGTATGCGGCAATGGTGCCAATACGATGGCGCATCTCACGTACCCGACCGATGGCAGTGTCACCTCCGCCGCTGAGAAGGCTGCTGCGCTTGTCAAAGGCGGTGCACGCACCCTACGCGGCTAGAGTCACCCTAGCAATCCTGGCTTCAACCGGTGTTGTGATCGTTGCGTATTGTAAGTGAAGCCTTAATGTGAACTTGGAATGAATATACTGTCTTCAGCACGGTCTTGTGTGCCTTTTGTCGGCTCCGATTACTAGCATCAAACGAGCAACTTAAGAACTTCAACGCGGTTCTGATTCCATCAGTTGGAGAACATATTTGACAATTGAAGGGCATGCTGCTTTTACGAATCAGCCGAATCAGACCGGAATCTGATTAATCTACATTTAAATAGCAGCATGCTCTTCAACTGTCAAACATGTTCTTCAACGGATGGAATCAGAACCGAGATCTAGCCGGTTTACCGGTTGGTAAACTTCGACTGAGAATCTTCCGAAACTAAGCTTTGGCATACTTTTGGCAGTATTTAGCAGCTCTCCAAAAAAGCGCGCCAAGCCATTTTGAACTGAGACCTTCCACCTGCCATGGACGCCACCTACGCGCCCGCGGAGGCGGAGAATATCGCCGTGTGCATCCGCGTGCG